GGGGGGGGGCATTATACCAAGGATACAATTTACAGGTCCAATGATTATTTTAGATGAAGAATTAACAATTTACACTAAAAGCACAAAATATTTGTCTTTATTTCAAATTATATATATCCAAATTTTTTAAAAAAATGTGGACGCGTTTTACGAATGTTTTGAATGAAGAAAAACAGACTGGGCTGGGTTTTAAAATATTTTTATAAAAAGTATGAATGGAAAGTTAAATTTATTTTCTTTATATATTGTCATAAAAGATTTTACACCGGCACCCGGCCCACTACGGTAATAAAATGAAAACCAAGTTTAAGATCAGATAAGAAATAAAACTTAAATGTCGGAGTTGCTGAATATAAAGTCAAAGGAATTTAGTATTTGCCACAAATTCAGATTTTCTAATACCTATATTTTTTTATTGTATAAACCGTTGATATTTCAAACTTAAATTCTTTCATCTAACAGAATTCATAGTTTGAAATCTCAAAGGTCTACGACATCATTCAGTCGCAAAGATATAGAGATTAGAAAATCATAGTTTGTGACAAAGACTCAATTCCTTTAAAGTAAAACTCAGGTATATTGTTTAAGTTTTAATCATAACTCCTCATATTGAAGAGCTATTGAAAAAAACTAAAATGTTTTGAATTTCTAAAATGTAACCGGATAATGGAATTAAGTCTTTGCCACAAACTCAAACTTTATAATCCCTATATCTTTGCAACTAGATGATGTAAACCTTTTATATTTTAAATTAAGATTATTTATCCAACATAATTAATAATTTGAAATATCTAAGGTTTACAACATTGGGATGCAAAGATATTGGGATTAGAAAATTCGAATTTTTGGCAAAAACTCAATTATTTTTCTTTGTACTTATGTGCCACGCACCCCTTACCCTTTAGTAAAAGTAAATTCAACCATAAGTCTGACCAAGTCAACCTTGTTGCACCGGATATTAAGTGTGTGCTTTTTTTACCCAATGTCCGGGCGATACAGTACAAACTGGGTCCGGAAAGGTTGACCCGGCTCGGAAATTCAAATGTACTACGGCTGCCCGTGGTGCATAATAAAAACAATAGGAGCTACAAGGTCACAAAGTACGCATGGCGCATACATCTTACTTTTCCTTCAGTCTAGGTTGCAATCGAATATCAAAGAGTTTTTGTTTAAGAAAAGCCTTTTAACTTTGAAGCTGATCCGGAGTTATAAGCCTAAAAAGTAAGATTGAAAATCATCTATTAAATTACATGGCTACCAGGAGCGTATTCAGGAATTTGTCAAAGGGGGGGGNAATCAATAGATTTCACTGGTCCAGGGGGAGGGCTTAGTCCCAAAAGCCCCCCCCCCCGAATACGCCCCTCATGGCTACAAAGATGGTTTAGTCGTCTTTGAAGTCTGATTTGTTTTCGGCTAACCCTGTATTATTAATTCATTAACTTTGGAAATTTACAAATATTCCAGATTCTTTGTAATAACCTTTACAGCTTATCAATATAATTATGCTTAGCTATTAAACTGAGAAACTAGTTTTTCCAATTGATAAATCAAGATTTTCTAGTTCAAATCTCACATTAAAATCACTACATATTAGTCCTCCCAGAATCCGAATTTAATGGATTTGAGCCGCAACTCAAATCCGCCAAAAACCGGTTTTAATTGTTTGCCGGCTTAAATCTCGAAACATTGAATACAACCAACCGCTTCTCAAATTTAAGCCGCTGCTTAAATTCTTTAAATTCGGCCTTTGTATGCTTAATTTTCACCAGTATTCGAATTGCACTGGAATTAAGTCTTTGCTCAACAACTCAAAATTTCTAATATTTCTTTGCAAAGCTT